GAGAGAGAGAGAGAGAGAGAGAGAGAGAGAGAGAGAGAGGTGAGAGAAGAGAGAAGAGAGAGAGAGTGAAGAGAGAGAGAGAGAGAGAGAGGAGAGAGAGAGAGAGAGAGAGAGAGAGAGAGAGAGAGAGAGAGAGAGAGAGAGAGAGAGAGAGAGAGAGAGAGAGAGAGAGAGAGAGAGAGAGAGAGTGAGAGAAAGAGAGAAGAGAAGAGAGAGAAGAGAAGAGAAGAGAGAGAGAGAGAGAGAGAGAGAGAGAGAGAGAGAGAGAGAGAGAGAGAGAGAGAGAGAGAGAGAGAGAGAAGAGAAGAGAGAGAGAGAAAGAAAGAAAGAGAGAGAGAGAAGGTATGAGAGAGAGAGATAGAAGAGAAGAGAGAGAGAGAGAAAGAAAGAAAGAGAGAGAGAGAAGGTATGAGAGAGAGAGAAACAAACAAATAAAAAAAGAGAAAGAATCGACGTCGAATGTCAAGGTATTGCAAAATTTCATCGACTGAAAAAAAAGTCAGTCAGTACTAAGCGTAGGAATGAACTTTCGACATCCTTCATTGATGTTGAAAATCTGTGCTTTGTCAAACGTCGACTTCATCAGTACAGTTCAACCACGTGTCAAAAGCAAATTTATTAATTATTCATAAAAAGTGCGAAGCATTGAAAAGGATATAATGAAGTTATAATTTTTAAAAACAAATATTGTTTTTTTTTATCTTTAATACGATTACAGACAAAATCCTCTTTTAAATATGATTCAGTTGCTTACAGATTTAAGTTCACTGTCATAGAAAAAAAATAGTTACAGGCAAATATTTTATGTAGTTGCTTAATACTTAGTAATTCTTAAAAATAATTCTTAATTTTATTATATGTTAATGATAGATTAATACTAATTATACATTTATTATTATATATCAATTATAGATTAGTAATAATACTTAACGATAATGATTTAACACTTGATGATACTTAATGATAGTTCATGGCGTAACTTTTGCATTATTTTAATGTTTTTTTGTCTATAAAGAATATCATTTAGGTTAAATTTTTTGCATCATTAGTGAGTGAAAGTAGAATAATGTTTATTATATTTATGGTGGTTTATCTCGTACAAATCGCATTTTGTTTATACAAGTTTTAAATATAAATGTTCTAAGAGTTTTACGTAAGCAGGACAGTTGAGAAAATTAATGTTTTAAACGTTATGCGTTTAACCTCTTCAAGAGTGATCGCGAAATGTTCATAGTTATGTCATCTGATTTGCATAATGTATAATGAAATAATAAAAAAATAAATCAAAAGCGTTCATTGCAACCAATGTATAAAAGATATGAATATGAATAAATATCATCACAGTGCAAGAGATCTATTTACCCCGTTTCAATCACATATCTTTTCCATCGATTATGACAGAAATTAGATTTGTTCTGTCTCTGAATATCTGGCGAAGATATGCTGGAAGCCGGTTAAGTACACTTCTTAAAGTATATTCATTCATTTAAATAGATCCATTACACACAAAAAATATGGGTAAACTCTGCGGGTTTAACTCTCCCGTGATGGAACTCCATATAGTACTGAATGCTCTCCAGGCTCTGAACACTCTAGACAAAGGTGCAGGAAATATTGCAAATGACAGCAGGATAAACGTGTACCGTGCAAAAAAACGAGGCCATAATAGACATTTTGTGTGAATTCCATCGCATGTTGGAATCCCTAGGCATGATCATGCTGATCGCCTAGCAAAGTCAACATGTGACAAGCAAAGTGTGGATATAGGTCTTAGGGTACTTCTTTCTAGGATTTTATACATCATTAAAGCTGATTAATTCTCAACGCCCTGAAAGGTGTAGCATAAAGCACTATCACCAGCTTAGGTAAGATTCATTCATCTATGGTTTATATAAAACAACAAGACAGTGATACTATGACCGCAAGAACTGTATTGTGTTTCTTTCCTTTAACTGATATAATACTTATCTCAATAATGTTATAGCCTAAAATTTAAATACATATATATATATATATAAGATATATAGTATTATATATAAAATATATAATGATATCACCGTGCACCAAATATACCACGGTTTGCCCACGCCTTTGCAGTTAGCCAGGGCGGTAAATAATGGACTAAACTAAATCAAACATACTTTGCCTTGGTAAAAGATCTAATTCTGTGTCATTTACGTGAAACCTGGGATTTGAAATTGTTTGCGGATTGAGTGCCTTGTTTTTTTTTGTTTTGGTTTTGTTGTTGTTATTTTAAATAAAGAACTAATAAGAATTGGGGGGGGGGGGGGGACGTGCGTTTATTTATTTTGCAGTAAAAGTTTTCTTTTCTGTGAATTCTCTTGCGTTCCGTTTTTAAACAATTTTGAAGAAAGTGATTGACTTGAATATCCCCCCCCTATCTCTCTCTTTCTCTCTCCTCTCTCTCTCTCTCTCTTTCTCTTCCTTTCTCTCTCTCTCTCTATCTCTATCTTTCTCTCCCTCTCTCTCTCTCTCTCTCTCTTTCTCTTTCTCTCCCTCTCTCTCTCGCGCTCTCTCTCTCTCTCCCCCCCCTCTCTCTCGCTTTCTTTTTTTCTCCCTCTCTCTCTCTCTCGCTTTCTTTTTTTCTCCCTCTCTCTCTCTCTCTTTCTCTCCCTCTGGTTCTTTCTTTGATTAATTTCGTTTGGATTAATGACGTTTTGAAGAACATATATGGCATCTATCTTTTTCTTCCTCGCCTTTGAATCTCGTCTATTCAAATATATATTTTTTAATTACGTATTATTATTACGCTACTTAACAATGAACTATTGTCAGATTTAATATTTTCTTCACGTAGACAAATATATGACAAAGAATAATAATAATAAAAAAAACTTTTTTATTTGCAGTTGACGTTTTTTTTTGTGATCTTAACTTCTTATCCATTTTTTCTTTCTTTCTTATTGTCTTTCTTTCAGACTTTTGTATCCTTGAAAAGATGCCTTTACTTTTTTACTAGTTTTGCCTTTTTTCTCTAGCATGACGTGACGCGCATGTCGGATTCGGATATACATATATATACACACATCCGGGAACTGGAGTCCTTGAGGTAGATCGGCTAAAGTGTAGCTGAGGAAATACTGTTCATTCCAACACGAAGACAGACATACACATCAACATGCAAATACACGCGCACTTACATGTACACATACATACCAATCAACACACACACACATATATATCTATGTATATATATATATATATATATATATATATATATATATATATATATATATATATATATATTTATATATATATATTTATATATATATATATATATATATATATATATATATATATATATATATATATATATATATATATATATATATACATATATGTG